GGGGGGGATTCCCCCCCTCTCCGTAGGAGAAGCTGTTGCATTTTACCGGGTCGAGGGCTTTGTTTTACAAACCAATCAGACAATTAGCGTTGTTTACATGACTTAAAAACGCTAGCGGGGCGCCCGATGTTCCACCAATGACAGCGATTCTCTCGGTAGCGTCGTGCAAAATGGTCATTGTTTACTCGATTATCGCCCATTCACAAGTTTCAGAAACAATGCCGACGGGAAAATGGACGCCACTCGCGTCAAGATTTCGATGTTTTTTGCCTATTTATCCGCGAAAATACGAAGAGAAGACCCTTAATTTGAAAATTTTGGGAGTGGCGCTAGAATTTTTGGGAGTGGCGCACCGCCGTTGCACCATTGCCTGGGGAGACCCCTGCATCCACTTTGTTATTTACTTATTGTTATTATGTTTTGCAGTTCTGCATCCACTTTGTTATTTACTTATTGTTATTATGATTTGCAGTTCTGCATCCACTTTGTTATTTACTTATCGTTATTATGATTTGCAGTTCTGCACCCACAGGTTTGGACAAGTTTTCAAAAATCCACTTGCCCTATTGGGCAAGTACATGGTTATTTCCACTTGCCCGAACCAACTTTTCACTTGCCCAATGCAAAATATAAATGACGTACATTTTTACCGCAAGGAAATTTTTTCAGTTAAAAAAGCATGCTATATTGCTCTATGCTTGACCAGCATTTCCCAAAGTAAGGAGATTTGCGACTCGCGAATGGTTCGCTGATAAAAAGTCATATTATGTGAATACATTATGTGAAAATGATGAGAGATTTTGCTCCAAACACTGGGGCATAATGCCACATGCCCCACATCCCAAAAATTTACTTGCCCACATATTCACTTGCCCAAACAGTACTTTTACTTGCCCTGGGCAAGTGGGCAATGGGACTTGTCCAACCCTGACCCACTTGTTGATTTACTACTGTTTATGGTTTGCAGTTTTGCAACCTCTTTTTGTAACAGTTTTTGTTACATTAATCATCCATGACCTCTGACCTCTCCCCGTTCACTTAAGTTCAGTTTTCAGTTAATGTTGTGTGCGTTATTTTATTTCTTTTATTAAGACTCACACCTTTTGTTATGTTGGTTTTACTTTCATGTACATTTGTTTTGTTCTGTTCTGTACATTTGTTTCATTGTAATTTTGCGACTCCAGGAAGAATAGATTTCATGTAAATCTAATGGAGATCGAATAAACAAACAAAGATGACACAAGCAAACTCAATACCTTCTTGAAAGCCTTGACAATCTTCTTCAGGTCGTAGTCCTCACTGATGCCCTGCACAGTGGTCAGGGTTTTGCGACCATTGCGCTGCTGTATTCTTATGTGAATCAGCGAGTCCTGCCCACTGCCTTCCTCAGACTTACTTGCATCAGCAAAGGGGTCTGTGATGAACACAAGAAGGTTTAAAAATTGGCATTGTAAGATTCTTATGCCAGGTGGTAAATAGTACACAGGAATAGGATTACAACCTGATATACCTTTCTGCCTGATACTGTATGTAACAACATTCTAAGGTTAACAACATTCTACAAGTTGCACCACGGAATGATCACTGTTGACTCCCGTAACCTGCCCACTGTTAGTCAACACAAACGACAGACAAGACGGTCACACCCCCTGACCTAGAACAACACACAGGCAGATGTCTTTCTTTCCACGAACTGTAACTGAGTGGAACTCCCTGCCTGCGGAAGTCGTGTCTGCCCAATCCTTAAGACTCCTTTAAGAACAAGCTGGATAGCTTGCAGTAGCTGCCATTTTCTGATACATTACCTTTGAAAAACAACATGCTACCGTGAACTCTGACCTCACCAACCAACCAACCAAAGCCATCAGTACGCTGATGTTGGCCGCCAATCCACTAGGAAGAAGTATGCAAAATTACTAACCAATTCCCAAGGGACCAATTTTACATACAAAATTTTCTGTACAGGAAAAAAAACATCCCCTGCGACAATGTGCTTATTAAAGTACTTTAATAAAGACTTAAATAAAAGACTAGTAAAGGCTAAATATTCTGTTAAGTACACTATTTTGACCTTTTGGTGGTTCCTTTCAGATATACTAGCCATGGAGAATGGAGATCATACAAAAATTATATACATTTTATGATTTAACTTTATCTAACAATACTGGCTTTTGGTAAATTAACATCAGCAGTCTAGAAATAACGACGGTGCACAGAATTTTCTAATTTGTTACTTTCACCAATTCTTTCTCCGCTTTCTACCCAATGAAATACAAGTAGGAAAGGATGGGAGGGGGGATTCTACGTTTGCTGACAAACACACAGTGGGGTGGGGGGTGCTGTATTATACTTGGAAGGCTGTCTCATAGTCATACAAAGCGAGGCATAATGTGGATTCTGATTATTTGTGACGATGTTTGGTGGTATGGGAGGTACGGCACACTGTAGTTTATGCTTCAGACATTTAAATTAAAAAGAAACTGCTTTTGTATGGGCAATTTTGGGGGGAAAGCTTTCATGACGTCAACAACCCCACCCAAAATTTCTGCCTCGAATCGTCACTTCATTTTCGCAAGTATTTCATCTGGAACGGTCCAAATAATGGGGTACAGTGATAGTTCTTATCCTCTTCCTGTGACCAACCCGAAACAGGAATCGAAAATGTGAAATATCCCGTCACCAAGTTTACACTCGCCACACAATACCGAGCCAAAAGAAGCTACGCAGTCAAAATACGATCGCGCCATAATTTAGTCCAAGGATTACGGCGAAATCTGTTCAAAATCTGAGCCTGAAACTTACCAAATGTTTTGAGATTCTCGATCGAGGACGACATGAGACGGAGTTGATCGTCGCTTTTGGTCAATAAGTCGAGTTTGCCGACGGATGCTTTAGATTGCAGAAGAAATGTCGTCCAAATACAGAGTCGTCACAAATGGCGATGTGGAGATGCGTAGTGATACACACTTATGGTTGTGAATAGGCTGGACTGTTCTATTTCCCATGGGGGTGTTAGACTCTTCCTTGCGTTTGAAACCTGTAAAAAATTTGACCATTCATGAAAATGATGATGTTGCAGTTTACTCATACTAACAGTATCAAAATCTACAGAAAATCTTACTATTGAAAAATACCCTGAAAGTTTCGTCAATGATTCTCTAGGCCCGGCACTACTTTTTGCGTTCTCTGACTCAGGAGTTAATCATCATCGCAATTATGACTAAATTAGCGAATATTCCAAGTCAAGTACAGATTGACGACAGAATTGCCGAAATTATGGATACGGTGCAATGTTACGAAAATAATACATTGAACAAAATAACAAAAGAATCCAAAAATTAGGAACTACTTTTTTGGTCGGAGGAATCCTCATTTCTCACACAGCGAGTAGTGAGGGGGCATCGTCGAAGTAGCCTCGGACCTACTTGTAATCTCCAAGCAGATCCTAGGGTGTCAAAAAAAGTGTAATTTGCCAGAGATGGTCCATGCGCGACGCAAAGTGGTTGTTGGTGGGGGTAGCGACAAAATACGGGTCATATACAAAACGATAACGAGCATTCCCCACAACCTCTGCTTGGTGAGTACCTTGGGCCCAGCTAACAAATCAAGCCTCTACCAGGCTTGGGGAGGCGGCTGGAAAGAGTAGAAATCGGCCAAATAGAGAGATAAGCAATTTGCCAAGGGAGTTTGTCCCTTGAGAGAACATTTCGCAAATGTTTGTAATTGTACATTGTGTCACTCTTCACTGCATCAGTTTGGATAGGCTATCGTGTAAGCTATATGATAATAGCGTTAATGGCCCGCCCTTTCTCGGTGAATATGGTGTGATAAAGCCTTGTCAGTTGCTTTAACCACCGAATAAAGCCACCAAGTGAGCGCAGCGAACGAGGTGGCTTTATTCGGTGGTTATAGCAACTGACAAGGCTTTATCACACCATATTCACCTCGGGACGGGGCATTAACCCTTAATTACAATACCTGTGTGCTGGAAATGAATTTAACACATAACACATTTTGTATAAGGACTAGATTATATGCAGTATACCTGTATTAAGCTTCTCTCTCTCTCTCTCTCTCTCTC